TAGACACTGGTTAAAAACTTCAAGGCACAAACACAGATAATCATTTAATCCAGCAATCATTCCAGAATCAACAAACCAAATTCCTGAAAAAAATCGAAGGGAAGTTGTATCAAGAAAATCGCATAAACCCCTCCCCCTGGAGTAACGTACCTAAATTTTTGGAGTTAGTTTTAGGATAGTCTCTGGAAATTTTTGAGATTTTTCCCGAATAGGCCAAACACGAACCAAGGAAAATATGGCTCACTCACAAGTTTGAGAATTTGAAAACCACGATTTCAAACCTGAAAACAAACATACGAAAAGAGTGAAGCGAGGGTAATCCAAATTGGAAACTTGTATTAACTAGAACAATATATCAGTTAATATGAAAATTTTGTGATTTTTTTAAATACTGTGCATGTTGCTTGACAGGTCAGATGGGAATTCATTGTAGGACCAATTTAGAAATGAAGGGGAACTTATGTTCCGAATCAGCCACATTGGCAGATTATTGCACAGTATTTTCTGACGGAGGCAAGGTCAGGGATTCTTGTGAATGATTTCCTTTCATTTGTGGGATAATGGGTCATTTTTCAATTTATTTCTTGCAAAATAAAACTGTTTATCTCTCTTGAACGATGCTTTTGACTGAAACTGCAAACAATGCCAAAACCATTTTTGCCTCAATTCACTGCTGTTACTTGAGTTTTACATACTATTTATCTGTTTTTGCATTTTTCTTTCCGAGTACTGTATACTGCTGGGGGTAGGTGTTCAGATGAGAGAGAGAGAGAGAGAGATGTTTTTGTTTGTCATCTGGGGGTTGGGGTTGCCTTGAGGCGCACTCAGAGAAGTACTTCATATGTGTCTTAACTTTGGAATACATTTCCGTGTGGTTTATTTTTAAAAGCTTTCAGTTCGTGTAGAAAACGGAAATGAAAGAAAACATCCGGGTATGTTTTCGCATGCAGGTTCATCAAGATGTCGAGCCCGCACTTGAACAACCTCATCATCCTGGGTTGCATCTTGACCTACTCCAGCGTAATTTTCCTGGGACTGGATTCCCAACTGACGAGCATCGACTCGTTCCCGTACATTTGCGCTGCCCGAACCTGGATCCTCATGGCGGGTTTCACCTTGGCCTTTGGCTCCATGTTCTCCAAAACGTGGAGGGTTCACACCATTTTCACGGATATCAAACTCAACAAAAAGGTTCATTTTTCTTTCGAAGAAAATTTTTTCTACGGTTTTCGCTGCATTTATTCTTCTTTTTTTTCTCAGGTGATAAAAGATTACCAGCTTTTTATGGTGGTTGGGATTTTATTAGCGATCGACATCGCCATCATGACCACGTGGCAGATTGTGGATCCGTTTTCGAGGGCTGTAAGAAATCTCAAATCATATGTGAGTTTATTTCTGTTCAAATATTCTATCCAGGAGGGTTTTATCAGGTGCACAGAAATCTCACCGGGAAGCTTGTCTCTCAATTTCAACCGGTACCTGTACACTTTTTAAAGATTTCCATTTGCCTGGAAATTGCGTGACGAAGATAATGGGGGGGGGGGATATTAAGCAGCGATCGAAGGTTCCATCAAGCTTTTTGCATACTCTCGAAGCCGACCTGTAATGAATTATTCACGTCAATTTTCGTTTTAATGATGATTGATTGCAGCCGGATCCGTCTGATAAGGACGCCGAATTGGTGCCGGTTCAAGAGTATTGCGAAAGCAGACACATGACGGTGTTTGTTTGCGCGATATACGGTTACAAGGGGCTGTTGTTGGTGAGTAATATATGCATTTTAAAATGTCAAAAACATGTTGAATATTTCAAACTTGACAACTTTAATAGCGCTGAATGACGTTGGAACAAACAGGCGGACATTTTTAGCGTATGAAATGCAATGCGGGGATTGCATTGCAAAATACCAACTATATATACAGTATCTGAAAAAATGCAAAGCTCTGTGTTTTTCTAGCACTGAACTTCAGAACATGCATAATTATAGAAGTGAACACTTTGTATGCATTACTACTACGTAGAGGTATGATAGAAAAAGGGTCGAATGGCCAACGGGTTCGTGTGAGAAAAATAATGTAAATGGCTTTCCTCGATTGTTAGGTGATTCTTATTGATGATCCATAGTTAGATCCGGAAGTTGTTTTTTTTGGGCATGGTTCGCCAGTGTTTTATTTTTCGGTAACGTCTTCTGTGAACCGTTGTGGGATTAAAGAAACCAATTCCCTTTTTTTTGCACGGAGGATCTCTAACTTGGCAGCCTTTATCTCACTCATGATGACATGACTGCATGAGCATTTCAGGGCCCTTTAAATTCAGCATCACTGATGGAAGATTAAAAAAGAATCCAGAAATGTAATCATTGAAACATGACGGATTTGAGGTTTTGTCTGAAGTTTCATAAAAATGAGTTTCTCAATTATTTGACGCATTAGGTTTCCTTGAATAAAAATTCCTGAACTCTGCAAGTTATTGTCGCTTAATTGAAGAAACGAACACAAGAACTCTAAAATTATAATGTGATCTTGCTTATTGTTTGCTGTATGTTTGTGCCTATGCAATTCCATTCTAAACAAATGACGAGATGATTGTGAATAATGCGCAACAACCGTAACAAACGGACAGCCTAATTATTTTTGTCAAATGCCCTCTGATTTCACAAATGCGCAACTCAGTTGAACTTGTCTAATATATTCGAGTAGATTCGAGTAGTCAGGTTTAACTGCATTATATCAGAATTGTGATTTTAGCAAGATGACAGTGAAAATTCCCCGACAAAAATAGATGTCGAAGAGCCAAGGTAGTTGATTTAATTCTTTTTTTTGCACGTGCAGATTTTCGGTTGTTTCCTGGCGTGGGAAACGCGGAATGTGAGCCTGCCAGCACTCAATGACTCCAAATACGTGGGCATGAGTGTGTACAACGTGGTCATCATGTGCATCCTGGGGGTTGCCATCTCTTTTGTGCTCACTGACCAGCAGGACGCCGCCTTCCTCATCATCTCCGTCTTCATCATTTTTTGTACCTCCGTCACCCTTTGTCTCGTCTTTGTGCCAAAGGTCAGTTGATATGAGCATTCCGATCCTCCGTAGCTCTAATAAACTTGTACAGCTGAACTCCATTAAAATGATTCTCATTTCAACGATTCTTTCATTTGAAAAAGAAAATTATTTTATTATTGATGGTCCCAGCAGTTTCTCCATATAGGCGCCATGCAATAAAAATCTCATTTTAAACCTTGGGCGCCACTGCCGGGATTCATTCTCGATTTTCTTTGCCAAAGATATACAAAGCGCTAAGTTTGATCAGAAAAGCCGAAGTCCAGAAAATTCTTGGATTTTTTTTTACTTATTTCCTGCAGAAAAATTTCCACAAAAATTATTTACTGCGATTTGTCATCTTTTCAACATGTTTGCCGTGGGATCAGCATTGATGGGTATAAAAAACAATGGTTTTTCACTTTCCTGGATTTTCTGGACTTCGACTATTCCCAGCAAGAGTAGAAAAATCGAACATTTTGGTGACCTTTGGTCAAACAAAAATGCACAAGCATGAAAAAAAAATCCCTGGCGTCACTGCACATTGGAAATTGACCTTCTTTCATCCAAGTGTTAACAAAATAATTTTGAGCTGCAATTCAGAATAACAAATAGTTGGTCCTGATTCTGTGCATAAGCCAGCATAGAGATTATTTGATAAATAATGGTAGGAAAATGAGAATTTGAACGGATAATGCAACATTCCTCATCAAAGAAGCAATACTTTCTGTAAAGAACATTTATTGTTCAGAAGAAATTTCCTGTATTTGAAAGAACAGGTCTAAGTGAATAATTTTATTTAGAAATAAGTATTTCTCCTGCATTTGCTTTTTCATTTTTTAAAAGTTAAATTGCACTTTAGCCGAAAGAATGGTTCAGTAAATGTAATATAGTTCTATAGATTCAAGTTGTCCTCTTAATTACATATGAAGATACATGAAAATTATGACAGGTCTTTCGAATCATCTGTATATAGTAGAATCCCCTTGAAATATATATTTATCGCCCATTTCCAACAAAATTTCTTTCTGAAATGTGTGATAACCCACGAGTTTCGAGTCTGAACGCTGCGAATTTTTCGTCAAAACAGATTTTTAATCAGCGGTCCCTGGGATTTCGTTGTAACGAGATTTTACAGTATCTGCACACAAAAAACCACCCCGACAAAGCCTCGACATTCCTTCCTTGCTTCATCCTGAAATATACTTGTTTAGTTGATAGAATTGAGGGTGAATCCGAGTGGAGCCGAGCAGAACCGAGTGCGAGCCACTTTGAAGCCGCCTCGGAGCTCGAGGAGCGACTCCTTTGAAGACACCCTGCTTCAAGACAACTTGAAGAGGGCCAGAAACAACAACACACAGCTCAAGCGACAGGTGGACGAAAGGCAGAATATTATCCTTGTAAGGAAAAACAAATTGAGCAGAATTTAATTCAAGCACTGCTCGATCCCCTGATTTATTCGGATTTAATTTTTTTTCCAGAATTTAATGAATAATCTCTTAGGAGACCTTCGAGTTCGTCTTTGTTCGACGGACTTTGCACCATTCAATAAGGGAGCTTTATTTTGTTACAGCGACAAATAAAACATAAGGTACACGAACATTCTAAACAAAGAATCTAAAAAAACTCAATTGTAACGAATAACTCAAGTTCCTGAAGAATGTTACGACGCATTGAGAAATTTCATCATCCATTTCAAAATAAATTGACAGAACTTGGCATCGAAAGCTGTCATAAACTTTGACCTGTCTTTAGGTTTCCGGTGGGCTTTTATGGAATTATAGCCTGCACTTCAGTAGGAAATATTTCACCGCTTTTGCAAATACAGTATTGTATTCGAAATTGACTGACCTTAAATTTTTACGCCCAGTAAATTTTTTAAGTCTCCTTGAATTCGTTGTATATAGGGAAGTAATGCTTCGCCAATCAGGCCAGATTATTTTTTAACTTGGCGTATAGGACGACTAAGGTATTTATAAATTGTATTTTATAGCAATATTTCAAAATCCTTCCAAACATTGGATTTTTAGATCAGGGACCAAAATTTCTTGACTGAAGTTTGATCTCGATGAATGTTCGCTATCTGACATCAAAATCAATGTTGATGGGGTTGAATTAATTACATATCAGTGATCTCCAACAATAAATTTCAAATATAAGCATTTTGATGGTTTGGTTATTCACGAAAGAAGAGAAAAAAAATCAGGCGTGATCCGCAGTCAGTATTTAAAGCCAGATTTCAATCTGTTTGTCCCACTTCAGCGCATGAAAACGTGGGATGATATAGCTTTTGAGCTAAAAATTGAGACGAAGAAGATGACATTTGCTGCATGCTTTATTGTTTTGCACTTGATGTACATTTTTTGTATTCCAGTTACCTACAGTGATATGAAACCGGAACCCGAGTCCAGTTCGATGCTTTCTCTCAATTCCCAAAACGCAGAAATGGTGCCTTTGACTTACGAGAGTTCGCATGGGTGAGTTCGTGAAAAGCGTCC